ATGATATGGCGCTAAATTCTCAGTTGGAAATGTCGAATTTTGTTTGCGAACACATTTGTGTTCTGCAAGGTGAACTCAGCTCGTATTACATATGCGTTATCCGCCCAGGTACTCCGTAGTAGGGTAGGTAGTCACAATTCATGGACACTTCTTGCTGCTTACTGACTCAACTTCGATCAGGAAACTGAATTCAAATCGCGCAAAAGTCCCTATGTTGTTCCCAAAAGTCAAAGGTGCTATGCTGTCACCCGAGAAGCTTCTGCCTGATCTCTGCGGCTTGCATCAAAAGAAATCTAACTTTCAGACACCTCAATCCATAGTAATAATAATCATTATTAATATTGGGATTGGAATGTTGAAGTGCCAAACAGCTTCGCTACTCGTTGGACGTACCTCCTGGTTTATTTAAGCCTTCACAAATTAATTATGCTCACGATAACAATCCGACCAAGTTAGCGTCAGAACTTTCCAAAACACATATATCATCGGGAAGGCTTGAAAAAGGCCAATCAAACTCAAGAACCCCTCATTCAGCATGGGTGACATGACTTAAACATGAAACGTTCTTTGACGGATATGGCTCACATGGTGTGGCATGATTGGTCCTTTTTTCAGTCAGCAAAAGGAGGAAATTGCTCTGTTTTCACTTTGGATGGTCATTGGACAGGACAACATCATAGGCGGCTGGTAGGTTATCAACTTGTTACTGCTCCGGTCCCTCGATAATTAAAACAGGGCCCTAGATTGGTGAGTATTGATTAGACTTCAACCTATATCAACCTTGTTTTGATGATGGACTGATGGGAATAATTTAACAGGCCTCTGAAATTTGCGCAGGCTATGTCCGGTTCAGTCATATATGACGGTTGTTCCAAATGGAAATGTAACTATCTTCGGGTTGACAAGCTGGCGCCATCCTGATCTCCCGCCTTTGTATACCGAATTAGCTGGGAACCTCCAAAATCGAACATGAAGGTTTATAGCTCGCCGAGAACACGAAATCCCTCAGTTCATTCAGCTATTCTATCTTCGGAACTAGGCCCTCTCCAATAATGCCTAACTCCCCAGTTCCTGCTATGAATTAGATTAACACACACCCTTGCAGGGGCTTACAAGGTTGGTTCTACGTATTTCTGTGTTGCACCCCCCGATGTTTAGACAAGGGAGCCAGTGTGCCTTTATATAGGCGGAGTCCCTCGTTTGTTTCCGTTGTTTCCTTTCCTCTCAACATTTGATTCTCTTTTGGCAGAGCCACTATATTCTTGTGCCCCTGCTTTTTATGTTATATCCAGACACTCGTTCAACCCCCACGTTCATTATTTATTCCCAGAAGTAGTAAATCATTGTATCCCATTTTTGCTTCCTCGTCTTCGTTTCTTCACTCATTCAATATGCGAAATCAACTCCTTGCCGTTGTCTCCATGCTTGCGACTAGCGCATTTGCTAACGATTGGACCCGCATCGGCACTGCTGTTCACGCCCTCCACCCCCTAAGAGCGCGCCAGGAGGGCGGAGGCTCGTTTAAACCTGACCAGTCCAGCGGCTTTGGGGATAGCTGCTCATCCGCCTTCGGAAAAGACTACATTCAGTGTGCAGCGACGGTTTGTTACAATCCCAAAGCAGGGCATACTTGCTGCTCTGGAGAATGTATGTGATAATCGCGTAGTAAACTCTCTGTACTACGACGAACTGCTAACATGTAATTTCCAGATGCCTGCCCAGGAAATTCCTTCTGTCTTACTGCCGGCTACTGCTGTCCCAATGTGAGCCTGTAGATGCAAGAGAGTAAAAGGAAAGCAAAGTAACTCATCATCTTCTAGGGCCTTGACCGCGAGAGCTGCGCTAAAAAACTTGGTTTGACCGCTCTACCCACCACTGTTGCTCCCACGAAGACCGCCTCCTCGACTACCGCTTACCTGACGACTCCTCTGCCAACAACTACTCCTTCGCCCACCAAGATCCCAGTTAAGATCCCAGTTTCAACTAAGCCCAAATCCGCATGTTACCCTGTTTACCATCCCCACCCGAGCAATGGATTTAACCACACGGTTATTCCCACAACCGGCACTTACCCAACCGCAACACCCCCGCCGTTCACTGGAGGCGCCAATCCACAGAACGTTGCTACCGGTGCTGTCGCGATCCTTGGTTTTCTTAGTATTCTTCAGAGCCTGTTGTAAGCACCGACAATAAAGTAACTTCTCTGCTGACTCTTTGTCTGCATAACACTGTGTGGGTAGATGTGGGCAGATCGTCGACACACAGCGTGGTTTTTATTTCGTTTTGTTTACCTTTTTTTTCCGGATACGTAATTTCCGCAGGTGGAAATAGCATGAATTTCATAGATGTCTCTTCTCTATGTTCCCCCTCCCTTACTATTCTCCTGTTGCAAATATTTTATGTAACACCAGATTGATTCTGTTCCTACTTCACTCTACCCTGCTCCTTGAACTTGGGTAAAACATATCAGGCCTCTCGTATTTGATTTTTGATCACAATAGGTTTTGTGGGAATACTGGGCTTAGGTGAAGATGCTCACCACAAGACGAAACTCGCTTGGGAAGACAAATTTATCTGGAATTTTTTTATTTTATTTTATATATATATTTTTTTTTAGGAAAAGTAGATGGAATAATGAAAGAAATATAAATTCTTCATCCTAGGAACTTCCCATCAATCCTAGCATGGAAGTCTCCCCAGGCTCGGGCCGATTAGGTTAGGTTTCAGTTAGCGGCTTCGGCCCGATGGAGTGCCAAGATTGCTGCTGTGAGCTAACCCAAAATGGGACTTCAGCGTGATTTAACTCCCTGCATCAAGATAGGTCCAAACATCATCATCTTTCAAGTATTGCTGTTCTAGTGATTGCACAAAGGCAGCTTCTATACTACAAGCGAGAGCAATATATTTTTCTTCCCCCTATCGTGTGTTAAGTTCTCCTTCCAGCGCAATCAAACCGTATCAGCCAGCTCCGAACATCGCCGCTTCAGGATATGAGTTGAGCCAGCTTTAACAAAATCATGGCCTGTACCGACTCTATGGATTAATGGCATCAGGCGTACACAGCCCCTTCTTAAGGAGACACAATATTAGTACTGGCTGTCCTGGAGTCTGGGTACGATTCCATCCTATCCACTCCACAAATTCGGTGAGGAACTAGTTACGGCGTTTCACTGTCTCCCGAGACCGGACATGAGATGAGACATGACGATAAGACATGCTTCGTGAGCTCATAGAGGATCACTTCTCACTCTGTGAGCTCATATCCGGGCATTCATATTTAGTGAATGTTTCCTCAATTTCCTGGCAGGGCCTGAAACGTCTACCTGTCAGCTTGTCCTCGAGGTGATGGGTGTAGGGAAGACCTTTGCACACAGGAATTCACTCATGAACGTGCCTCTGGGTATATACCATATCAGTGGCACTGATATACATGTTTTACCAACCAAGCTCAACTAATCTCCATTGTGCCTGGGATGGACTTCAATCAGTCAGAAAACAGAAGGATAATCATACTTTTGCAATTTCACTTTGAGATCTTAGTCGACTGCAGGGTTCTATGCTATTAACAATATTACAACCCTGATCATGGTCCTATCCATATTCTATGGAGGAAGACCAAAAGAATTCACAAGAAAGCAGATAACTCAGGAAACGAAATTAAAATGCTGCTTTTAACGTCCTTCTTGAGTTACTATTTTAGTCCCGATAGTTAGCCAATTAAGATCGAAGAGACGAGGAGCTTAGCTACAACTATATTTTCTTTGAGAACCTCCGGAAGACCCGCCACAGAACCCTAGACTCCACAGTTAGCGACCAGATAACGATCGCTATGTGCCCCATCCTTTTGTGGCCAACGCAGCCAAAACGATCATTACTTTGCCAACGGGTATCGACGTTCAGGGGATTCCCTATTAGGGCTGTACAGCACTCAGCGACGCAGAGAAATTCCTCGTATTAGTTATTAGGTTCTCTTCTTTCAGGATTTGCAGCTTTCAACCATTCATGCATTGGTCAATGTAATGGCGGATAAGATATGGAGAAGGAAGTTTACAAGAATGATGACAGCAATATTAGGTCAACCCCTGGGAACATCGAAGTTGTCCCCAGTAGCATGACCTATTCCTCAGATTTGTTGTGAGTTATTTTAGTTTTGGAATAGTTTAATCATCAGACAGTCGGCATTGCAAATTTTGTCCAGCTCGATACCTATGTCAACACTTCTACTCTATATAACATCTGTGGAAACAGACATTCCAACCAAAGATGCTTTTTGTCTCATTTTTCTCGGAGCTCTCTCCTCTGAAACATGAAGCCCTAATTTTGCCACTTGTACTTCGTTATGCGTGAGCACAGAGGATACAGGGTTTTGACTATACATATGAAGAAGGTTGGTGAATATAATTTTGGTAATGACTGGCAACCTTGGACTCGATGGGGTGGTCCGCATGCTCTGAACATAGAATATTAGCCTGTTCAAGAAGTGGATAGAGTAAAGCAAAGTGGTGGGACGCTTCTCCATGAATCGTCCGACGAATGACTTCATCATGTCTTATCATTCCTACCTATATCCCCTGTTGGTAGAAAATTAGTAGCCCAGAGTGAGTAAGTTAAAACCATTGTTGCGTGAGGATGATACAAATAACATAGTAACTAGGAGTCATGATTGGCTCTAGACGTGGGTCAGTCATTATTATTAAACTGACTTGTGAAGAGAACTGGGGCATTGCCTTACCCCAGAGTGGCTCCCCCCAACACTCAACAGATATCACCCACATCTTGAACCTCACTAACTTCACTTTACACACAGGAAATCTTCCAACATAAATCAAATAGCGGGCAGACCTCTCCTACCTTAGTGAATTCCTCTTCGCCTACCCTTGCGATTGCACTGTGCTCAATTGAGTTTCCTGATCGCCAGAAACCTTCCTGCTATCCCCACCCAATCCCACCGTTTCTTTTCAAACCCCGTCAACATCGTCACCCGCAAACACATTCAAACGATGGCGAGCTTTCCGGAAGCCAGCAATCTCAATGCCTGGAAGGCTCTCCAGGAGCATTACAATTCTACAGGCCGAAACATTACTCTAAAGGATGAATTCAAAAAAGATGGTCAACGCTTCCAGAAGTTCTCCCATACTTTCTTCAACACCGCCGACAAGTCCGAAATCCTCTTCGATTTCTCGAAGAATCTCATCACAGAAGAGTCCATTACCCTGCTGATACAGCTCGCAAAGGAGGCAGGTCTAGAGAAACTGCGCGATCAAATGTTTAATGGCGAGCCTATCAATTTCACCGAGGATCGGGCCGTATATCATGTTGCCCTGCGCAATGTAAGCAACCAGGAGATGCGGGTCAAGGGGAAGAGCGTGGTCGAGGAAGTCAATTCTGTCCTGAACCATATGAAGGAGTTCTCTGAGCAGGTTAGGAGTGGAGAATGGAAGGGATATACAGGAAAGAAGATCAAGACCATCATCAACGTTGGTATTGGAGGTTCAGATCTGTAGGTTATCGGATGCGTATTTTATTATCACCTCTGTAGAAAATCGTCAGCATGAAGTAAGGTATTTGCTAACTACTCTACAGTGGCCCTGTTATGGTAACTGAGGCATTGAAGCCCTATTCCGATAGGAACCTGACCCTCCATTTCGTCTCAAACATTGATGGCACCCACGCCGCTGAGGCCCTGAGGGATTCTGACCCTGAGACCACCCTCTTCCTGATCGCTTCAAAGACATTCACCACGGCCGAAACAATCACCAACGCCAACACTGCCAAAGCCTGGTTCCTCCAAAAAGCCAAGGACAGCGCCCATATTGCAAAACATTTCGTTGCCCTCTCCACCAACGAAGCTGAAGTCACCAAGTTCGGCATCGACAAGAAGAACATGTTCGGCTTCGAATCATGGGTTGGCGGTCGATATTCAGTCTGGAGCGCAATCGGCCTATCCATCGCTCTCTCGATTGGCTTCGATAACTTCCACGAATTCCTTGCTGGAGCGCATGCCATGGATAAACACTTCCGCGAGACGCCACTGGAGAAGAACATCCCCATCATCGGAGGCCTCCTGAGCGTCTGGTACAGCGACTTCTTTGGTTCCCAGACTCACCTCATCTCCCCCTTCGATCAATACCTGCACCGCTTCCCCGCCTACCTCCAACAACTCTCAATGGAGAGTAACGGGAAAGCCGTCACCCGCACAGGAGACTATGTCCGATACAGCACGGGACCCATCGTATTCGGTGAGCCGGCAACCAATGCTCAGCACAGTTTCTACCAGCTCCTCCATCAAGGCACAAAGCTCATCCCGACCGACTTCATTCTCGCCGCGCAGTCTCACAACCCCATCGAGGGCGGGAAGCACCAGACCATGCTCGCATCCAATTTCTTCGCCCAAGCCGAAGCGCTCATGATAGGCAAGACGCCAGAGCAAGTCAAGGCTGAGGGTGCGATCGGCAATCTAGTTCCGCACAAGACGTTCCTTGGAAACAGGCCCACGACATCGGTACTTGCACAGAAGATTACGCCAGGCACACTTGGGGCGCTGATTGCTTACTATGAGCATGTTACTTTTACGGAGGGGGCGGTGTGGAATATCAACTCGTTTGATCAGTGGGGGGTGGAGTTGGGAAAGGTTCTGGCGAAGAAGATTGAAAAAGAATTGGAGACTGAGGGCGAAGGGGGTGGGCATGATGGCTCGACTAGCGGGTTGATTGCTGCTTATAAGAAAAAGGCTTCCCTGTAGAGGGAGGTCGAAAAATTGACCTGCAGGTTAACCATTGAGAGGAAATGGAACATGAAAAATGAAGAATTAAGGAGAAAAGGTTTGTTTTTCTGTTCACCCTTATTATAACTGTATATTTAAGTAACTATATATCAAGAAAAGCAAGTTACTTGAGTTCAGTTCCATGTCTTCCCGAGGTTTTTCGCCGGCTTAAAGCTGCAAGCTTCTGCGTCTCCTGCTCGATGCCGTAACTAGTCATTAACCGCTTCCCATTCATCTTATGGTGAGTATGTTAGCAAAATAATAATTAATAAAAGATGAAGTGATTAAGATGACCTACATCCATCCCTTTCCCCCCATCTGAACTCTGTAGTATGAATTTAGTCTCAATATTCAACAAACATTTCTTGTGCCCTCTCACATTCTTGTGCCCAGGTCCAGGTCCACTACCACTACGACACATCCATCAAACCAATCAGACACCACACCCGCGCTCTACCCCCAGATTTATTTACACGTATAGATTTTTATCTACCTCTCCACACATTTACTCTCCCTCCCCCACGGCCCTTACATTCCACATCAGAGTATATGTATATATAATGTCGTGGCAGCCACCGGGCATTCCCTCCCTTTGCCGCAAATATGTCCTTCCTTTGATTCTGGTGAGCAATGCAGTTGTGAGCGGCCGCATTGGCCCTGCAGCGAAATCAACATCGGGCTATGTGCAAGGCCAGAGTATCCCAGTTAGTTGTTTGAATAGGGATATGTGGGTGATTATTATTCTTTTATTAGAAAGGGAGGAGTTTGCTCAGGTTGAGATTGTTTGCTAATCAAAGGTTAATTAATATATAGATCAACAGGAGAACATGTATGTGCAGAAGCACCTGAAAACAGGTCTTTTCAAAACCAGATAACTATCTAGCCAGCTCCACAATACATACGTGCTTTCATATGTAGTCCATTACTGATCCCGCTGCCAAACACAAATAATAAAACCAGATCACAGAACCGTCTGGAAAACTCCAATACATTCCCTTTCCAATCTGCAACGAGACCGCCGCCCCGCTCTCCTTTCGCTACGGCGTCTCCGAAACAACAACCTGCACCATCAATTCGCTCTCCGACTCTCTCTACCACCTGCTAGAATACTACGTCCACTCTGACGTACCGCTAACATGCCGAATACCCACCTTCCCGCTATCCTCGCTGCGCAATCAAAACAAGATCGCTGGAAGTAGCGGCGAAGAGAAACATGGCGATGCTGTGAATAATGGCCTGCCATTCTCCTCCCAAACGCCTTTTACGCCTCTGACGATTGCGCTGCAGGGGACACTGCAACTGTCCCACTTACATATCTGGACGGAGATGAATGTGCTCATGCATAAGACTGCGCAGTTATCGCCTGGTTTTACATCTGGCTGGAAGAAGTCAAAGAAATCAAAGAAAAATACGAAGAAGAAAGAGAAGGAGAGGAAAAGGGATAAAATACCACCCCCTCAAGGACAGATTGTGGCCGGTTCGGCCTATTCTGTGCCATTGGTTCTTCCCGCTGCTGATGATGAGGAGGATGACGTTGATAGCGCAAATGACAAGAAGACCAGGAATAAGAAGGACGTGATGGATCCCTGGACTACAGAGGGAGGCACGAAGGTAATTCGCGGCGAGCCGCTTGTCTTTACCTTTCGAGTTGGGTGGGTATCTCACGGCGATGTGCTGGAGTTGGTTAGTGCAGAATCCTCATCGTCTTCTCCTTCGTCGACTTCAGGAATCGGATTATTCATTCAAGTGATGACTATTTGCTTTTGGGTTGGGGTTGGATTTGGGCTGGCAGTTGCTGTGGAGAAGGTTAGGCAGAGGAAGAGGGGTAGATATAAGGGGGACGGGATTTTAGGGCATAGACCGTTTTTTGGTGGCCTTGGTGCGGCAGGGGTTGGGGGAAGCGGGGTGATTGGCTTTGGAGGGGATAAGGGGAGGATGAATGGGTATGGATATGTGTTAGGGTTGAATGGTGGTGGCAATGGCGGTGGAGGGGTATATGGGGAATATGGAGGATATGGTGTTGGGAAGAATGACTGATTTTTTTTATCTCCTTTTTTTTTTGGCTTTTTTTTTCGGCTTTTTTGCGGATAGGGGTCGGCCATTTAAGGTATATTTTGTTGGTTTGCCTTTTGCTATATACCTTAGATGTTACGTCTTTTTAGCATTTGCACATAATGGGTAATGAACTGAAGATATATCGCAAGGTGGAGCTTTATATTTCCATGAATTTGGAATGAATGTTACGGCGGGCTGCGGATGATTCAACCCTGATATATAAATTCCTAAAAAAGCGTTCACAAAATTACATGAAACCTAAGGGAAGTATTGCAATTAAATGTCAATTTCGAAATCCTAATACACCAGAAGAGTTTGTAGAACACATCTATATCCCCTTCATACCAAGATAATGTACCCTGTATAAGAAAAAATCACCAAACTCGTATTAACATAGCGAAAGGAAAAGGAGACAACATTATCTCCCTTACCATCAACGATGTTGTATGCCGACGGCGATCATAAACCGGAAAACAACCTCCATTGACTACCACCCCTGCTTCCTCAATTGCTGACACCTCCTCAACGTATGTTGAAACGACATCTTAAACAATCTCCGCCACCTCTCCCTTCTCAACTCCTTCTTCAACTGACCCCTCCTCACATGGAACCGCTGCTTCATCACCATAGACTTAACCCTATTCCTCCGAACTCTCGTCTCCATCATCTGGAAAGCCGCCGCGACATCGATACCGGCGTTCGGATCCACTGGCACCGAACGGCCCAGCTCTGGACCTAGGCGCAAGTTGATGGTGGGCACGCGTGATTTCTGCGATTGGCCGAGGCCCTCGCGCACCTGTCTGTACATGGCTTCGTCTTGCGATGTTCGCGGTTCAAAGGGGTTGGTGGCTTGTCGGGGTTGGTTGGAGCGTGGTATGAAGTTTTCTAGGACTTCTGTGACAAGGGTAAGTTTGTCATCGTTGCTGCTGCTGCTGGTGACGGAGCTATTTGATTGTACAACTCCCGGCGGCCAGGGTTTAATGGGTATATTAAAGCGTTCTTGTAATCGGGGTTGCTGGTGAGAGGAGGTTGATTTGTTTTCAGATATCTCTTCGGATTCTGCAATCAAGGCTGGGGTGGCCTGTCCGGAGGCATTACGGGGTGGTGAGGTGCTGAGCGGTCTTGCCACGGAGGTAGTTAATGCGGAGGAGCAGGAGAAATGACTGGGGTGGAGGAGATAGCGGCGGGAGGAGAACAGGTGACTTATGGACCGACTGATTTGGCGGGTCTCCATGTTGAGTGTGCCACTAAGAGAACAATTGGCAAAGTTGGTAGCTTAGCTGTTTGTTTATCCCCGTTGGATATTGAAAGTCGAGATGATTTTTGAAGATATTTTTGACGTGTCACGTGATATAACTAAAGGTTTGGTCCTATAGCCAAATGTCGCGCAGGGGTTGATGATAGTCCTGAAGGCAATAGAAACTTCATTTACAAGAAATATAAAGAAAGAAACGTTATTCTGCGTCTAGTGTTAAGTGACTTTCTTTTTGGTGGCAGTACTGTTACTTTTCCATTTTCATTTTCGCGTTCCCGTCCATCATGTCGACAATTACCACCGCGAACCTCAACCGAATGGACCGCGATACCCTCGCCGGCATGCTCCTCTCCCCAAGCAATCCTTCAAAGCTTGCAATAGTGGATGTTCGTGATTCAGGTGAGGGTCATTTTGCTTAGTTATGCGCACAATTCTTCCGTTTGCATAAATGCAAGTGATGATCTCCTAGCAAATCTATTACCCCTCCCCCAAACCCTCTCCACTTCCTCTACCAACACTACAAACCCTCGCTGCTTGCACATCAATAACGTTGTCATAGATCACATCGGAGGTCATATCTTCTCTTCAATCTGGTGTCCCAGCTCAACATTAAGCCTCCACATGGCAAATCTCATAAACAAGCTGCGCGACAAAGAGAAAGTCGTGTTTCATTGCGCGCTAAGCCAGGAACGGGGTCCCTCCGCGGCGCTCAGGTATCTGCGAGAACGAGAGCAGGTTCTCAATAAAGAAGAGTGTATTAAGCAGACCGTGTATGTCTTAGACGGCGGCTTTGTCAAGTGGCAGGAGAAACATGGGGATGATAAAAGGTTGACGGCGGACTATGTTAAGGATCTCTGGGATGACAATTGAGGGTTGGATCAATGGATTGGCGGAGTGCATATTATGCGCTATAAGTCTTTTTTTATTATCTTATAGGTGCTTCGGTTTGGCTTGGGTTGCATGATATATGAGATATGGGTAAGACAAACGGACAATGGGTTAGAAAGATATAAGCATGGAAGGTCGATGGACATCCATTCGGGCAGGAGTTTCTTGGAATATGCTAAGTATTCTTGGAGGCAACGAAAAGGGCCTCGAGAGCTTAGTGATTTTCGAGGGTGACTCCAGCTTCAATCCAACAGCTTAGGGGGAGAATAGTCATGGCTGGAACCCCCGAGGATTAATTTCTCCGAACCCTTTTTCTTTTCTGTTTCTTTTTCTTCGGAACTAACGGAGAAATCAGAAAACGCCTTTTTAAGAAGCGCACCAACTTATAGCAGCCGGCTTGTTTTTAATATAAACAGATTTCGATAGCGAGCCTCTAGGCAATTTATATATGCTCCATACGCTGTTCCGGGTGAAGGAGACATTCAACTGGATCGGGAATGGAAGTTAAACAATGGTAGCTGGTGCAATGGATTTTATATCCAAAGTTTCTCTATCCAATTAAAGATCAAATCCCTACCATTTTCCAAATGACAAGCGCAAAGGATATATAATTTACAGCGGATGTAAATACAGATAAAATCTAACCCTCCCCACCCTCGCATCCATTCCAACAACTACCCCAAAACACTCCCCCCAAATCCAACAGGCCTCCTCCTCCCCCCACTCTCCGGCACGATAGCCAGAGCTTTATACAATTTGCCCATCCCCCCACCTCCCCTCTCCACCAACCTCTTCCACCCGCTCTCAATCCTCTTCCTCTTCTCCTCCCCCCCCTCCCCCTCAACTTTCCTCAACAACTGCGACGCCCTCTTCGAAATCCCCAACGCCTCTAAAAACTGACACTGCTCCACTGGCCCATACACCTCCACACCAGGACTAGCGTCAATAGCCGCCTCCGCTAGCGCAGTGAAATCTACATTAGCGCTGATGTCGACCTGCCCCGGTACGGCGAAGGGAGAAACGAGTTGGTGTTTCCGGATACCGCGGAGGGAGTTTATGGGAATTGTTGATGTGGTACCGTAATCGAGGATTAGAGCGGCTCCGGATGGGACACGTTTCTTGTTTGACTGTTCTGAAGAGGAGTAAAAGGAGCCCCCTATTCGCCGTGCGATATCTTGGGCGCACGTCTGGCCTTCCGGGCTTATTTCTATAGTTGACCCAGGCATGGATTTCATAGCTTTATAGCGCGGAGACATTTCGGGGAGGACGAGGGAAGATGGTGTATGTGATTTAGCAAGTGAGAGGTGGAATTCGGGCTCCTTTCCGCTTTTCAGTTCGGGGGTCTCGGGGTTTGGGGAAACGACGAGCTCTCTCCATTGAGTGGCGGGAGAGCTAGAGGTGGCTGGCGGGTTGTGAAGGGTAGCAGGACCGGTAGGTGTGTTTATGGTCTGCGAGGGGGGTGGTGTCTCTATAGACTGGAATGCATGGATGGGGAGCGCATCGAAAAATTCGTGCGCAAATATGAAGGGGGTTTTATCTGGTTCTGGATGGAGGGGTGAGGATTAGTTATTATATATCACGGACAAAATAAAAGGTCAAGATGGCAGGATCTTCACCCTCAGTGAGTAGCTTAATATGCTCAGTCCAAATAACTGGAACACCCAGATGGACACTTGTACTTTTATATCCAACCTCCATCTCTTCCGTTGGAGCGTCTCCACAGAGAAGTTTATGCTGAACCTCTCGCAGAACGGTGCTAGCTTCAACTAGATAAATAGCCTCAATCGCCGACGCAAAGGTTTTGAAATTGCGAATAGACTACCAGTCACCACATTGTGTCAGCGAGATTTCCTGCAAATCTCCGCTCTGGGAAAGGGAAACAGAGCACACACCCTCAGCATATCCGCCATAAGCGTCCCCTTCCCCGGTCCCAGCTCAATAATCTGCACCCCACCTTTCTTTCTCCCTTGTCCCATCCACTCCGCCACAGTCCAAATCCCCAGCAACTCGCCAAAAATCTGCGAAATCTCTGGTGATGTGACGAAGTCTCCCTTTGGACCAAACAGTTCCGTGCCCTCCGCCTCCTGGCCGCGGGATGTGTAATATCCGCCGTCCGGGGACGTGAGGCATTGCCGCATATAAGCTGCAATGGAGATAGGGCCCGTAACCTGCGGGATTGTTAGAATTTGGTTAGAACACAATGAAGCAGTTTTCTGGTAAATTACGGCGAGGTGGGGTATGCGCACGCTTATGGCTTCAGCAATGGTTTTTGCGAGCGGGGTGGACCACTGCCGTGGAGCGGAGTTTGGGGCGGAGGTGGATGACCACCGGACCAGATGAATTTTTGCATTGACACCGCCCAGTCGAGGATACCGGCCTGCTCCCGCTAAGCGTGATAGGAGAAGGCAAACGGATCCATTGCTCATCTTCAATTTAGATGGCACACTGTCTTCACTGCATGAGGATTTGCTGTATTTTCTTATAACAGATGTTTTGGTGAGGTTGAGATTCGGAGGCAGTTGCTTACACGGTTTGCGCCGCGCCAATCAGAATCACCAGTAGCTATACGATGCGAAACAGCATCCTTACCTTTGATATATTGGTATATTGATGATTAAGAAAAATCATTACGTTCGTTTGAATAACAAGTTGTCGAATGAAGCTTTATTTTAGGATTTTATTGTCATTGTATGAGCTCCTAGAGTAGAGTCAAGCAACAAGGTTGGGCCTGCAAAGATTCTGAAGAAAAGGTGTAAATGGTGAAAGAGAGAACAAGCTCTAAAACAAATTATCTGACAACCTTCCATAGTATGATACAAAAAGCGTTCATTCATTAAAT